TGTTCCAAAGCGGCAAATAGAAAAAATAAAAACTTGGCGAGAAAATCGAAAAAAACGGGTTTTTTGACTAGCCCCCCATTTTTGGAAAAATCTGATTTTCTTTGTTGTTCTGGGTTGTTCTAGTTATTGCTCTAGAAAATCAAAATAACAACCCAGAACAACAAAGAAAATCTGATTTTCACAAAAATGGGGGGCTAGTCAAAAAACCCGTTCTTTCGATTTTCTCGCCAAGTTTCTATTTTTTTATTTGCCGCTTTGGAACAATGTAGAACAACTCTAGAATAATCTAGAACAACAATGGAAAATTTAAAATCAACAAATGGGGGGCTAAGTCCCGGACTCCCCAATACGTCCATTGTTCTACTGAATTATCCTTTGTTTTATAAGGTCCAATCTATGCACGTACGGGCACCACCGCAAACTGACAAACAAACCGCAAATTGCGGTCGAATCTAATAGTGATATCGACTGCGTATCACGTCTCTTGTTATACGAACTGGTGACTAATCGCATACCAGATTCCTGTTTTAACACGTTATATAATTTCCGTCTAAAGGAGGAGAATTTACAATTTCCCCCCGGACTATTAATTCTGGATTACACGTTTTCATCCAACAAAATTTGGGGTTGTTCAATGCGTAGTTTGGTTTTTATGAACAACCCTTCAGGAAACGTATTTTCTATTAAGTAAGTTTAATAAGTTCTAAAAGTTTAACGGCGCCCACTTAATTCATCATTCCCCGGTTGGATATTGAAAAAGTTTCCGGATTGGTATCGGAAGGAGGTTGACGGTTCAAAAGGCGTTGAAAAATGCTTTATTCCCTTCCTTTCCATTTACACCTCAAAACCATTGCAAACAACATACATTTTCTAAACGAAATAGGATTTTTTAATCGATCTAATTCTTTGCATTTTATTTCCAATTAAACACACAGACGATATCCAATCAAAAACATCTCGTGATTCTTAAAGTACAAAGAGCGGAATTAAGTGAGAGCCGCTCCCTTTATTACGCAGACGTCTTAAAAGGTATTTTTCCCGATTTCTACAAGTCATTAATTCCTGACTGCCAGGAACAGCAAGTTCTCTAATTTCTATCTCTGTAGTACAGCCAAAGGGAAGGAGGCAACAGAACGGAAACAATCGAGTCATTTGGCGAAGTGAGGTTTCCCAGCCCTATCCACTTATTACGATGTGATTTCATTCAATTGCGCACCGAGAACCGTCACAAATTGCGCCATAAATAAAAGCATAATGGAGTCGCCAATAAAGCTTCTCGAGCACGGGGCCGAAGGGTGGCTAATTGGAGGAGTAATTCTGGTACATCCCGTGAGGCCCCGGGAAACAAAACTCACACCGTCGAGACGACCTCGCCTCAAAAATCCCGATCAGAGACGACGGGAGAAAAGATAAAGGAGTTTGTTTTCAGAGTTGCGTGTTGAATAATTCAGGGAGTAATTTAATTTTAATTGGATTGTTAAACTGCCGGGGACAATTTTGTGAAGAAACTCTGTTTTATACAGTAACAATAAAATAGAGTTTATTTTATTAATGCCCTCTTTTTAAAAAATAATTTTGGATAAATGAGATGTTTTCGTCTTGGACCCAAGATTGTTCTTTGTTATAAGATATGCTCCAAACATAGATAGAGTTGAATGAAAGAAAATTTGGACCTGACCTAGTTCTTATAGAGAAAATTAAATTTGAAACAACGCAAAATTTATCACCATAGTTTATAAATTCCTTAACTGCGGAATGAATGAATATTCAGCTTCAACCATGGATATCTGGTTGAACTGCAAAACGGTTACGGTGTTTCGAACACCGCTTTCAATTTTAATACTAAATAAACCCCGTCCGGTTTTTACGGTCCTTTTAAACGTTTATTATAGTCGGTGCAGTTACCCAGGACCGCAAAACTGTCGCCGATTTCGGTGGCTCGCACCACTAATTTGCATGAAAAATATTTGCACTGGCGGGTGAGATTGCGCTTCCGGCAGCAATTAGAAGGGCAGTCGCGACCCGCTCTTGACACAGATCCCGAGGGAACGGCTGGGATTTTGCGGGTTGCAGAGGATCGCGGGACGGGAAAGCCGGGGAAAAGACGGAAAAGTGGGGCGCTAGTGAATGCACTCGGCGGGCGGTTCCGCGAAAGTTAACCCGAGGGTGCTGCCTGAGTGAGCCTCTCCAGGGGCCCTACTCTCCACAACGCTATTTCGAATAACCTATTCAACTTGCGTTACGCTAACACCTCGCTCTACTAGAATCCCTGACTTTCCTCGTGATGGCATTTTTAATGGGGTTTTCTTCTTCGTTATCTTCTAAATGAGATGGGATACGTATGTACACAAGAACCTAAGACTCTTTAGATTACCCCTTTGTATACATTTTACATCCGACGTTTTAAAATTGAACTTTATCATTATAGTTTTCCTTCTAATTGAATTATAATGGAAAAATTAAAAAAAAAAGAGAAAATAGAATAGCTGTACTTAAGTAGTAAAATAAATTTAAATTGTAGTCTTCTTCTCAACATTGCATCATCCTTCTGTAGACAACGTATAAGCATGGCGGTGTCTTAATATTAATAAAAGATTCAGTCCAGTCCACGCCAGTGCCTAGTACAAATGATTACTGTCAGGAAAAGGATATAGAAATTACAGCTGTAACTCTGAAAAAATATAACATTATTGTTATTTGTTTATATCGATCACCGCTAGGTGACTTAAACATCTTCAAGGAAAAACTGAAATGGTACCTGGTATACATTGCAGCAACGTATCCTAACTATAGAGTGCTACTTTCCGGAGATTTTAACATAAATTTTATGCATAGCAACCAAGATTCCATGGAGGTTTGTAATATATTCAATATGTTTGGAATGGAAGGCGTCTTTTCCAGTCCATCTAGATTATCACCGGGATCCGCAACCGGCATAGATAATATATTTACAGATTTAATAAACATCGAGGGAAAAACTACAAATCCACACTTATCTGATCATCTTACGCAGATTGCTAAAGTAACAACCAAAATCACAAACATTACAAATATGAAAAAGATAAGATTAATTACAACAGATAAAATACTTGAATTCAATCAGAGTCTTCGTGGGACGCAATGGCCAGATGCTCATCTTGGTTATTCCTCGTTCCATACCGCATTCACAAATTCGTTCAATCGCATATTTCCTGAAAAAGAAGTACCCGATACCAAGAAAAGACGTTGTCAAATGAATTTTCCTCCGGAACTAGAAAAGGAAGCCCTTAGAGCTTTGGCGTGTGGAGGACCACGAGATAGCTGCAGAATATTTAAAGCGATGCAAATATTAACTGTCCCTAGCATCTACATACTGGCGGCAATTACCCTTCTGCATAAGAACAAAATGAGATATTCATCTTATAGTGATATCCACCAACATGACACTAGGCAGAAGAACAGGATCGTCATTCCACAACACCGCATCAAAAGAGCACAACAAAGCACTAATTATATGTGCATAAAATTATATAATAAATTGCCACCAGCGTATTGTGAGTTGCCATTGCCCACCTTTAGAGGAAAAGTGAAGCGATTGTTACTACAATACTCCTTCTACTCAATAGAGGAATACTTAAATTGCATTTTTTTATTGAATATTATTATTATTTTCTTGTATTGTTGACTATTGTACGCACGTTTCTTTGCGACAAATAAGCATTATTATTATTATTATGAGATTCATTTAAGAAACTCCTACATAAAAATCGATTAAGAACGAATCCATTTCAAGACATTTGCACGCATGTTTCAACCCTAACTCCAATTCTTCCCACAAGAAACTCATGTCCAGATAGTCCCAGTTTCCCCCTCGTCACGTAACCTGGCCATTAATTTCCCCCGAACCGCCGTCTGTCTTCCCATTAAGCCTTATCTGTCACCGCGCGTCTTGGAATCCAACGCGGGGAGGATATTTACCACCCAGGGCGTATTATGAATGTTATGCAGAGCATGTTAATCGCGGGTCTTCCCCTCACCGAGTTCCCTCGCGTAATACGGTAATTTCTCATTACCGCAGTTCGCAAAGTTCCTAGGCCCCCCGCATCGCATAGTGTACGAGAGATGGTTTTGCATGTGCCCCCCAAATCTCGCCGAGTCCAATGGAACCATGCCACGTGTAATATCAGTTGACGTCAGACTTGCTCGCCAAACGAAAATTTGGCGCCCCTTTTGTTCTGATTCGTCGCCGTGAGAAGGCAGACGCTCATGTTAACCGAGAAAATTAACAACGGGTGCGCCGGTACTGCTTCGGGTAGTTGCGGCGCCTTGCACAAAATTGCTTTGCATTTCGAGAAGACGCCGGAAAGGGGCGTTGCAAAAGCTAGGGCGCGATAAGCGTCTCTGTCTTCCTAAAATCCATTTGTTTAATTATCCACGTGAAACGCCGCCGGTGTGAGACTTAATGAGAAGGCAAGTAGTTTTCCGTGCGATATTTCTAGTAAATGAATATATATCCCATTATTCACTCGATCTATCCGGTGGATTTTATTCTTTATTTGGTAAAGTAATTGAAACACTTAAATTATGTGGGTGCTCGATAATTTAATAGTTCATAAAATTGTTCATTGAACAAAATAAAGTTAATTATTTCGGACAGTATCTAGCGATGCGAATTTGATTGCGTATATAAATTTGATCGTAAATGACCAGATCGAGTATAGTTTAATAACCCAATTTAGTGTGGCGACTATTACATATTGAAAACAGATTATGATCGGTTATAATTTTCAAACGTTTCATTTCTAAATATTCGTATTTACCACGAAATAAATTGTGTCGAAATAGATGATATGAAATCGATCTCTGAACGTTAGTTTGTATTAGCGAAAATTTATATGGAATTAATAAGAACATAAAGTGCAATAATCGTTCCGGCACATCGAACCGGTTTTATTACGGGATTACGTTGACACGCCAAGCGCAAAAGCTTCCCTATTCTAACAGTCTCGTTATTTTTGCAGAGCTACTTCACCGCGTCGTTCTCCTGAGCGGCTCCGGTCTAAGCCCCTGGGCTCTACAGCGAGATCCTCTCTATGTAAAAAGAAAAGTGGCCGAACACACCGGATGTCACGGGGACCTCCTCGAGGACGACTTATCCCCGTGTTTGCGACTGAAGCAACTGAACCAGCTGCTATCCGTACAGTTAGACCCTCCTAGATTCTTGCCGGGATTCGCACCCTTCATAGACGGCACCATCCTTGTAAACTCCACGGCGCCCCCGCCCACCACATCCGGATCGCCCACCGTTGCAACATCTGCCGGTTACGAATTGGCGGACTTTCCGGACAGAGACTTGCTCTTCGTGCTGACTAGCACCGAATCATACTTGGACTTGAGCGCTCAGGATCTCGAGTTCGGGTTCAACGAGACCCGAAGGGACCGTATCCTGAGAACGTACGTCAGGAATTCTTACTACTACCATCTGAACGAGATCTTTTCGACGCTGAAGAACGAGTACACCGACTGGGAGAGGCCGTCGCAGAATCCGTTGAGTGTCCGAGACGCGACGCTAGAAGTACTCAGTGACGGCCACACGGCGGCACCTCTCATACGAATCGGCTACTTGCACTCAATGAGGGGCGGCAAAACCTTTTTTCTACACTTCTTACATCAGAGCGGCGAAAGGGATTTTCCGCAGGTTAGTGGTCCTTTCTATTCACCAGGCGTGAGCAGATCCAAGAGGTGCGAGATGGGATGAGTATCCTTGAGTAAGCTGATGATGAAAGGATCCTTGAACGTTTATTTTTGCAAGCGAACTTACTATAGACACATCCATCTTTTTATATTTATAAAAAACGTTTTTAGTTTTCGTTTTTATTTAGTTCTTCTGGTGTATATATTTAATTTATTTTAATTTCTTATCACTCTACTTTAAATTCGATTGAAAATCGAAGAACTTTCCAGTGATAAGCAAATATTCTAGCTAACGTCTCTTTTGGGATTCAAAAGCGAAACGAGACGATGTGGAATATCTGGATATCAGCTGTAAGTATCGACGTGTCGTCGCTTTCTTTCCGTTTCCTCTTCGGCTTCATTTTGCTCCGGGGTAAAAATGGCAATCTCCCCAATAAATTCCCTTCGATCGCGCTCTTCGGCGCCTTCTGCTTTACGGCCGGATCGGTCGTACTGCAGCCCGGAGGCGCAAGATGTTCAATGCGATAAATGGGACACAATATAGGTTTCGTTATGGCCGCACCACTTTTTCACCGCGGTCACGGTGCCGCTAACAAATAGTTGGGAAAATATTTGATGATCCTATCGCGATATGTGTTTGCCGTGCAGTATTTGCGAACCGGCAAACGTGCTATCTTTATGCTACAAACCGACGCAACGGCCGTATTCGGGGGCTAAAAATTTTTATAACTAAGCAAATTTATAGATAGCACAGCAAAAATTGAAAATGATAAATTTACAAATAAAATCTGATAGAGATTTTATAATCGATATAAATAATTGGTTAGAAATTTAGACTTTTTCTCTTTTAGCAGCCCGAAAGTGGCATAAAGTACCGAAACCCATCTCTTCTTTTCCTTAGGGTGCTATTTTCCCACCAACATAAATCTTGTCTTTCTGCATGCGCTAATTAATTATGTTGCTCCCTTTCCACCAAGGGGTGCTTATCTTGACACGGTTGAGCCAGGTTCAAATCTACAAATGGGACCTTAAGGCAAAAAATGTGTATATTTGAGGTAACCTCCGAGGATTTAGGCCCTTGATGAAATAAATTCGGCTAAGGAAGAATTCGCCGTTTATGGCATTAACTGCGAAACGGGGGGTAATTTAATTACTTTCTTAATTTATTCAAACATTTATCTCGTTTGCCTAAGTTTAATATAAACAACGAAAGTTTAATCGTGTTGATCGTTACTCAATAGGGTTTCGGTAACTTTTCATGAAAGTTCTAGTGTTGGAAGCCGTTTTTACTCTTCGAATCTCTATTGGGATACAGCGAATTTATTGATTACAAAGTTTATGTTTAGTTTTAGTTTATGAACAGTGTGTAGGTCGTGTTTTAAAACTTTTTAGACGATGAGTCTTCTTTAAAAATATAGCGTAACGTATGTTCTTGATATAAAACTGATATCGCACATACTTTGTTATTGTTTGTATCAAATCGTAAATCTCTTGGTACGTTACAGTTACAGCTGTATACAAGAGGGATATACAGCCTGATTCAGAGTAAGCGCCTTATTTTTTTTTAGCCACACTATGGGTACTACTTTCAAAATATTTGGCAGTAATATGTTTTAGGACACTCTCTACACGATGGTGATGTCATATTTTCAATTGGACGAATTATTTCAAAATGGCGACTATCAACTTTTTTTTTTAAATGGAATACCAAAATTTTTTTTTTATTATTGAGATCTTAAAAGCATTCTTTTTACGACAGTATTTTGTTTTTCTTAAAAATTCATTTCTTTCCCCATCCAAAAGGAACCTAATATTTTAATCTATACTCTGTTTTTAAACCAGGAGGAGTATTTTAAATTTGTCACCAGATTGACCTTGCACGTGATTGGTTGAATGCGAGGAAGGTTCACACACAGGCAATTTTGAATTTTGATTTTGAATTTGAAGGTTAGGTTATTGATAATTCGACAGTTTCGTGTCATTGTTGTAAATTTTGTTT